CTCTCTCTCTCTCACTTTTAAACAACTTTATTGAGGTATAACTCACATACTATATAATTTACCCATTTAAAACCTACAATCAGTGGTTATTAGTATATTCACAGATATGTGCAACCATCACCATTGTCAATTTTAGAACATTTTCATCACCTCTAAAAGAAATGCCGTATCCTTTAGCTTTCACCCCCGTCTCTCCCTCCCTCCAGCCCTAAGCAGCTGCTAATCTACTTTCTATCTTTATGGATTTGCCTGTTCTGGACAGTTCATACGAATGGAATTATACAATATGTGGTCTTCTGTAATGGGCTTCTTTCACTTAGCATCATATTTTCAAGATTCGTTCATGTGGTAGCATGTGTCAGTACTCCATTCCTTTTTATGGCCAAATATTCCATTATGTAGATATGTTTATCCATGTGTCAGTGGTGGACATTTGAGTTGTCTCTTCCCTCTTGTCCATTATGAGTAATGCTGCTATGAACATTAGTGTCCAGTTTTTTGTGTGGACATCGGTTTTTATTTCTCTTGGGTATGTACTTAGGAGTGGAATTTCTGGATACCTGCCTCTCTAGATGCTCTTATCATGGTAAAGATCAAGAGTTACTGATTTTCCCCTCACCTCCCTAAAACACTTTCCTGGGATAATCCTGCATTTTCTGGATTTTATTCACTTAGTAAATAATCACTGAGCAATTACTGCAAATTGGGTAACGTTCTAAGCCCTGGGCAACTTCAGTGGGCATTTTGGGTTCTAGTCTCTTCACGATCTAGATGGAACCTGACAGTAGCGTAACTGCTTTTATCTGCAGCAGACATAATTATAGTCTACCTTTTGCAGGAAAACAAAAATAGCACTTAACCTGCATCTTTCTTGGTTATCTAAATAAACTATCATCATTTATTAGCTTCTCTTATAAACACTGTCCATAGTCTCTCACAGAAGCTTCTTGTTCACACTGCTTATTTATGCATTCGTATTTATATTCATTAATCTGCTCATCCATTCATTCTATACAAATTTATTAAGCACCTACACTCTGTCTATCACTGTACTAGACTTGGTGGATATAAAGATATATAGGACATGCACTTCTTGTTGGAGAGAAATATACAAAATAGGTTGTTATAATACGATATGGTATTGATGAGATGTTCCTAACCCATCTTAGGGTCACTGGAGAAGGCTTCCTGAAAGGTAGAAACGTAGAGTGTGAGTATAGAGACAGACTGGTGTGGGGGTAGAGAACTTTCCAGAAAGAGGGAACAGTGTAAACAGACATAAAAGAAGGCAATATCATAGTACAAGCAGTTTAGTATTTCTGTGTCATAAAGTGCTTCTGGGATAAAGAATCTTCAAAGGGGAAATATAATTGCTTAATATGTAGCCTGCCTGTGGGGATTAATGATTAAGAGAAGAAAGATTATGCAATGCAATGATTTACAACTGCCTACTAAATAGTTTTGTGACATCAGATAAGCCATTAACCTCTCTGTGCCTCATTTGTCATCAAATGTTGAGTGGGAAATAGACTTCATGAGTATCTGCTTTCTAAAGTAACACACAAATTGCTAAAAAATAAAATAAAATTAAAGCCATAAAAAACTTTCTAATGTTGTCTCAAATATAGCCAAGGCTTGGACAGATAAAACTATATAAGATGAAGGAGACATGTCATAGATTAAATTCCAGATTAAACAGATTGAAGTGAAGAACTCTGAAAAAAAAAAGAAGCAGATGAATTTCGAACCTGGTTTGGTGGCCCAGTGATGCTGATTGCATAGCATAGAAAATTCCCAAACCCCAAGTTCAAGTCTGCACTCATCCTTCCCCAACTCCACCCTCCGTGATTCATGAAAAGAACACACCTTGGATCTGACTTCAAATCCTCTCCTAATAGTTGTTTTGGAACATTGAATGTGTCTCTACAGATTCTGGGTTGTTTATAATGTTCTAAGCCTATGTAGATATCCCATTGTACTCATTTCTTCATAGAGAAAGTGGTTGCTATGTTCTCCTGTCAAACGTGGATATTTCCTAGTCTTTCATGTCATACAGGAGGCTCTGCAGGAACTGCATCACATTTTATTCTTAGATGTTTACTAGCAGTGGTCACTGGTTTCCCTCTTCCTTTTTGGGAGCTATACATCTCATCCTTGATCTTCATTTACTGCCTCTAGCTCAAGGCAGCCATACACAAGCAAATAGAATGGAAAGAGCCTGTTAGTTCTAGCACCACAGCGACCTTTGAGGTTGGGCATGTGCCAGCCTCCAGAGCCTTTGATTTCCTTCATTACGTCATATGGATAAATCAATAAGGAAGACCAGGGAGTAGCCTTGAGGCCCACCCATTACCGTCCCCAAATGATGGGCTCAGTCATCCATAGAGCCAAGCACAAGAGGGAAAGAGGCAGGGCTGTTTCTGATTCTTCTGCCCACTTGATCCACCTGGGAGGTTGTCTTGCTTCTTTTGTAGTCATCCTTGTGAAACAATAACAAGCCATCGATAGCATGGGAAATGAAGAGAGAAGGAGGCATGATGGAACCTGCAAGATGCTAAATGTAAGGGGCTTGGAAAGAAAAAAATGGAGGCACGCTACGATATCAGAGAACAGGATTAAATTAAGTAACTAAAGCCTATATTCTCAAGTTGCTCTAGGACCATATAGAAATGCATTCTCCATTATGGTGCTCCTTCAGAAGGGCCATTGCTCAAGTGGGCCACTGTCGTTAATGAAGGGAGACCTTACCCTTGTGAAAGTAAAACTTCCACCAGTACTGGTAAAGCTGCTGCTGACTTATTTGGTACAGAAATTTCCTAACTTAACACCAAGTGTGACATCACAATTTGAAAGTTTCATAATGTACTGGAATTGGCACCATGACTATTGTTCATGGACTGCAATTTCCAAAAATCAATTCCTAGGATAAGGCCATGGTTGAAATTTAAGATGCTACTATTACAAGCACCACTGAAGCGTTCTGTTTTCATCTGCTTCCTAATTCTTTAGTTGTTCAGTGATGGGTTACCAAATCACTGCAGTTTTATTGTCTTAAGTAAAATGTTTACCTATTGAATACATGATTCATGCATCTATTACTAAGACAATAAAGCTAAACCATCAATCCATAGAAAGTTCTATTTTTCTATTGTAAAATTATATATCAGTAAAGAAACCCTCTGGAAGGCCTGTGTGCCCGCCCCGGAGACACTGTGAGTGTTAGCTGCTAAAGGCCATGGCTGCCCCATTTGCTGGAGAACTGACCTCAACAGATGGGGAAACCCCACCGGAAGTTGCTTGGCAGATATACCCCACCCCCAACAAGGGGCAGCACACTCGCAATTGATTCCTTTACCTCAAGGTAGGACCATTTTTGTGGTGTCAGTCTTGTTCCCACACTTCCCATGGGACCTGGTTGAGATTAGACTTCAGCCGAAAGCACATCTTTGCTTCGCTTCGTCCCTGCCCTATCTTGCTTCCTTCAAGTCCTTACAAGTTTCTTCTGAAACACTCCCTTAATAAATCACTTGCGAAAGAATCCCTATCTTGGGCTCAGCTTCTAGGAAACCCCAACTAAGCCTGTGTGAAAATGCTTGTTAGTCCCAAACGAGGATAAATATTGAAAAATGTTAAAGTGATGTAAACCATTTTCAGAAAACGGACATTGACAAAGTAATAAAGGATATTCATTTAAATATATAAAAATATGCATGGATGTTTGGAAATTTTGACATATGATGACAGAGTAATGTGCAAATTGTATATAATTATTGACATTCAAGTAATAGAGGCATTGAAAGTCAAAGGTCAGCCATAGATGACTCCTGACAAAAACAAATGTGGACGTCCATGAACTTATATTTAATGGTCATGACCTTGTCAGCTACGTCCTGTTTGACATTTTCAGAAAGATGTGTGATAATGGGATTGATGAATTCATTAGCATTATGAATCATGTAAAAACAATCTTTAACACATTTTATTAAGTGTTGACTAAAAACTGTTGGTTTGGAGAGGACAAAGATTACAAATGTTTTAAATAGGGTTCCCAAAGGGCAGCAAAACCAGAACAATCATATTTTACCATAAATGATCAGGGGGTAGAATGTACATCTCTCCATCATATTCTACTTACGTGGCTGGTATGGCCAGGGGAATTTATGTAAGTCTAGAAAAACACAAAACTCAGAAATGAGCAGAAACAGAAATGCCAAATGCTGAGTCAGACACTGGACAAGAAGTTCTGTTCTGATTTTTCAAAAGAAAAAGACTACAGATTTGAGATCAGATTTGAGATTGAGGCTCATTCGTTTATTGATTCAGCCAATATTTAGAGAGCACCGCTTCTGCGCTGAGTTCCTGTGCTCGTTGCTGTGGTTACAGACATGAAAAGGCAGAAATGACCTCCCAAGCCAAATCTGCTGTATTGGAATCATTCCTGGTCTGACTATACTTTTGCAAATGACTTCTGGAGTTTATAGGCTCTGTCTACATTTGTGTGGTTTCCTAGGGATTTCAGATATTTAACAATGTCTAAGCTTTGCCCAATTGCCTTAAACTCTTCAATTAATTACTATTCCAGAATTGTCACAGAGAAAAATGGAGCTCCTCCTGTCCACCCCCAACAATCCTAGAGTGATAATTTTATCAGTAAATATTCTTCGTTAAACATTCTATATCTTAATTATTTTTCCCTGAAAAAATGAAAATGCTACTTATATCTCTGGGAACCTTATGCTGAGTGTTAGCATCCAAGTTGTAAAATTTTTTAAGACTTTTGGACCCAGGAAGCACCACATCTGAGAGATGAGTACATCTTGCATCATGCGTTAGAGTTTAGTGTCTTAACTTATTTATTCTGTTCAGTCCCCAACCCGTGTGTATTTCGGTCATCCTAGAGACTAGTTTTTGTGAATATCTTTTCTTTTCTTTTTTTTCTTTTTGAGGAAGATTAGCCCTGAACTAACTACTGCCAGTCCTCCACTTTTTTGCTGAGGAAGACTGGCCCTGAGCTAAGATCGTGCCCATCGTCCTCTGTTTTATACGTGGGATGCCTACCACAGCATGGCGTGCCAAGTGGTGCCATGTCCACACCTGGGATCTGCACCGGCGAACCCCAAGCCGCTGAGAAGCGGAATGTATTAATTTAACCGCTGCGCCACTGGGCCGGCCCCCAATGAATATCTTTTCATTACATCTGATTTGTCACAACTTTGAAGATTTTATTTTAGTAAATGAAATATATTAACTGTGTGTAGTTTTGCTGAGTACAGCAGTTAGGATTCTGACTAAGTAGCTGGAATGTAACCTCCTAGAGAACAGGAGTTTATTTATTGTGCTAATGTAGACTTGTTACATTTTTTGATGAGTGTTTTTACTAAATTCTGAGATCAATTGATAGGAATAAATTTCCCAGGTACTTTAAAGAAAATTATTTATGATGGTTCTTTCATCTGTTAATGGAAGAGTGTTATTTTTCTCTTAATGATTGTAAGGATTTTGTATCTTAATTCTTAAGTAGAAATATGTAAATGAAATTTGGACTTTGAAAACCAAGTACTTTGAATTTCCACAAGTGTCTTCCTTTTTGTCAAACCACACTGAGAAGAACTTCTGCACTATTGTGCCTTAATTTAGTGTATAAACAAATTCTTTATACTAATTATCTTCATCACTGGAATCTTACCAGTGCATTTGTGCCTTGTTAACTTAATGCTCATAGAGCCTCTTGGACTTTATGTGTTGTTGAATTTTAAAAAATCCATTTGAATCAAGTAGATTCTCTATAGAAGAGTAGATACCTAATTAAAAAGAAAAGCAATATTTTCTCTGATGTTACAAAGAGTTCTTCATTTCAACATTCAATCTCTGAGAAAGTTAATTTATGAGGAGGAATAAATTATATTACTTAGCAATCTTCTATTCATTTCACCACATTGTTAAAAGCTTATATTCTGCAAACACTTCACATAATGAAACAATGGGTGTAAATTATATACGTTAAGAAACATTAAGGCCGGCCCGGTGGCGCAGTGGTTGAATGTGCATGTTCTGTTTCCGCAGCCCGGGGTTCGCTGGGTCAGATCCTGGGTGCGGACATGGCACTGCTTGGCAAGCCATGCTGTGGTAGGCATCCCACATACAAAGTAGAGGAAGATGGGCATGGATGTTAGCTCAGGGCCAGTCTTCCTCAGCAAAAAGAGGAGGATTGGCAGCAGTTAGCTCAGGGCTAAACTTCCTCAAAAAAAAAAAAGAAAGAAACATTAAAAATTCAAATAGTTATAGCCCAGTTCATAGCTCATTTGTTCTAAATCAATACTTAAGTTGTTAATTTCTAAGAGAAGTGTTTTTTTTCTGAGAAAAGCCTTAATAAGCAAAGTAATTTAGGAGTATATTGAAGTAGTAAAGGTATGTTTTATAGAAACTCTCCATTTTATAGATTGCATTCATGACTTCTACACTACATCCATTTCTACTGTGTTTACTGATTCATTGGTATCCTATAAATAGCTTGGATTTTTTTTTTTTTTTGAGGAAGATTAACCTTGAGCTAACATCTGCTGCCAATCCTCCTCTTTTTGCTGAGGAAGACTGGCCCTGAGCTAAGATCCGTGCCCATCTTCCACTACTTTATACGTGGGACGCCTACCACACCATGGCTTGCCAAGCAGTGCATATGTCTGCACCCAGGATCTGAACCGGTGAACCCCGGGCCACGGAAGTGGAACATGCGAACTTAACTGCTCCGCCACCAGGCTTGAATTTTTAACATGATTCATATTATTGCGCTGGTCCTCAGGTATGCATATCAGAAGACAAACACAGAGATGGTTGAAATTTAGCAGGCTTTTCTCACTCCCAATAAAAGATACATTTTCTTAGCAGGTGCAAAATTGGAGCCGTTAAATTGAAACAACACTGAAATCACATGTTTGCTGACAGTAGATAATTGCTGCACTTTTCTGTAAAAAGTTTCTACAAATTTAAGACAAGATACTGAAAGTTTGTTGACACGTATGAGGGCCTGTGATAAGCAAAAAACAAAACAAAAATCAAAAACCAAGCAAAAAACTACACTAAGCATGGTGAAAAAATGAAAAAGAAATTAGAGTTGGTCATTTGCAATTTAATTAACATAATATCTTGAATGCAAATGAAGAAAACATAAGACAAGTCCAAATTGTCTTATTTGGTACTCTAATTTTGTGGGAATGGAAACAGACATATTGAGGTTAAGTGATTTATCTAAAGTCCTGGTTAGACTCTGCAGAGCTGACTCCTGACGGTTGTACAGTCTCCTTTTCATTGCACGACACTGCCTTCTATGACAGATGGACCTATGCCACTTAATTATATGGATTAAGAAAAAACAATTGAAAAAATCGTGAACTGTAATCACATACGGCCTGAAATAACATTAGTATATTCAAGACTCTTTGGGAGAGGAAACACCATTCTGGAACATCCATCTCAGACTTGGCAAGCTGGAATGACAATCTGCAACTTTATTTTTACTGGTTATCAGTCACTGGTATAATGAGGCAAATGCTACCAGTGAAATTTAATCATTGAATCAAATTTTTGAAAATTATACACGTTTAAATCTTATACAAGGGAAAGGGGTTGTATTTTCTTCAGCCATAAAATTCTCTCCTTCATCCTTTTGATATGATGTGAGACTAGCTTGTTTCATTGTCAAATTTGTGTATAAGTAACCCAGAGAGGTCAAAACAAGGAATTTAATGGATCTTACTTTGCAAAGCTTTGAAGCTACATAGAACTGTATTTATTTGATTGAATGATATCCTCAACTTCTTCGGTGAGTGTGGGTTGAAGGATAGAAAATAGCTGAGTCAAATTTAATTTGTTTAATTCCTCCCCTTTCTCTTTATTATTTATATTTATAATAAATTAATCCATTTTCTATTTGTTTTAATCTAAACTCAGGATAGGGTTTAGAATGAGAACATTGTTTAAGGTGTGGGGTCTCTTGCAGGTATTACATATTTATTTTATTTTATGAAAATTAAAGTTCATGTATTTTGTATTCTCATTAATATATATCAAATATTTACAACAACTCCTTAGGCTTAAAAATTTTTTTGAAATTACAGGAAGATGGAAGAATAGTATGAAGCAGTTTTGACCCCCCCAAATCCATTTGCAAGCAAGTTGCTGACATGATGTGCTGTGATCCCAGAATAATTCAATAGACTACAAACCAAGACACTCTATCACAGAACCGTAATATAGCCATCAAAATCAGGAAATCAGCATGAATATAGTACTATCATCTAATCCTCAATCCCTTTTAAGTTTCGCCAGTTGTCCCAATTAAGTCCTTTAGAACAGAAAGATCCAGTTGAGAATAATGCACTGCATTTAGTTGCCATATCTCTTTCGCTTCTGTAGGTTTAGGAAAGTCCTCAGTCTTTCCTTGAATTTCATAAATTTGCCTTTCGAAGCTTATGGGCCAGTTATTTTATGGAATGTCTTTCGATTTGGATTTTTCAGATTTTACCTCATGATTAAATTCATGCATCTTTGGCAGGAATATTGCAAAAGTGATCCTGCTTTCTTCTTTTGAATCCTGTCTGTGGCACAGTATTGCGACTTGTCCAGTTATTGATGATGTTCATTTTGATACATAGGTTAAGGTATCTAAATAACCTAGACGTCTGCCAGGTTTCTTCACAGTAAAGTTACTTTTTCTTCCTTTGTAAATAATAAGTATTTCATAATGAGGTACTTTAAAAAAACCAAACATCTCATTCTTCTTCAAAGTTTCAAATTATTCATTTATTTGTTAATGTCTTTATAGACTTTAGTCTACTATTTTATTTAATGGACTAAAATCCACTGCTATCATTATTTATTTTCATGCTAAAATTATTGTAGGTGGCACTTTGATTGTTTCTATGTTCTTTTTTTTTCTATGTTTCTTTGTTCTATTATTCTTTGAGCATTGCTTTACTTTCTGGCACAACAAAACACTGTAGGCTCATCTTATACTTTTCCTGTCACCCTAGAGTTGGTGATTTTTCTAAGGAGTCCTGTTTCCTTTTAGTGAGAATAGTATTTAGAAGCCAAGATTTGGGTGCTTGACGTGCTCATTGCTATTTGAGGATGACTGCTCCCAGATTGTCTTAGAGGGGAAAACTAAGGTATATCTGATAATATGTACACATACACACATTATGTACATGTACATACATGTATTTATTTATTACTTTATCTATCTAGCTATTTAGATATATTTCTATATCTAGATAGAAATATATATTGAAATCCATGAGTTCATACCAATACGTTCAATTTCAATCCAATACCATTGAGTTCTTTCCATTTTTTTTCCATTTCAATATTTGTATCTTCCTTCTCTGACAGTGTTGGCTCCAATTGTACTGATCATATGTACTTATTTGATACCCCCTGTATGTAGCCAGGCTTCCATTGCCCCTCCCATTCCCTGCTCTACATGGATGCTCTCCTCACTCTGCCGGTGCAGACCACTCTCCCATGAGGATGACCTCTCACTCTTCTAGGCTCTGACACCCAACTCTGGGTGGCCTTCCTACACAGATGTCCTTCTCACTCCCCTCAGTTTCTGGTATCCTGAGCTGGGCCATACAGCTCCCCATACCCCAAGCCCTGCTGGTCTCTTTGCCTACTTTATTGGATTTATGATTAAATTGTTCAGGAAGAAAAGGAAGGGAAAGGAGACAACAGCTCATTAGGCTTTAAAATTAAATTCCAAACTTCTAAAATATTTAAGCAACTCAGTATATTATTAAAGGAGAGGGGGGCCAGCCTGATGGTGTAGTGGTTAAGTTCACATGCTCTGCTTTGGCAGACCGGGGTTTGCAGGTTTGGATCCTGGCTGCAGACCTATACACCTATACACCACTCATGAAGCCATGCTGTGGCAGAGTCCCACATACAAAATAGAGGAAGACTGGCACAGATGTTGGCTCAGGGACAATCTTTCTCAAGCAAAAAAGGAAGATTGGCAACAGGTGT